GCCGATTTATTCCGGCGTATGCTCATATTCCAGCAATTGTTCCAACTTCGGCGAATATTTATTATGCCCCTCAAACAGCAAACCACGTGACTACTTAACAGATATTTGGACGGCATACGTGGATGGGGACATAACTTCTACTAAAATGATAGGTTGGGGGACCTCGGGAGCTGTCTTCCCTAAACTCCAAGGCAGCAGAGAGTTCAGTTGTTGCCCCTTTCTTAAGTGTACTTTTCGAGGTCTGAATATTCACTGTCCAGGGGAATTTGACAGATTTCTTATTGTTTATGGTAGGTCAGAAAATGGATATGACGGAACATTACAGAGAGACAACTTCACATTGGATTAACCAAGTGAGAATTTCTGAAGAGGATTTGATTTGCATGCAATAGATAAACATGCCTTTATACAGTAAATCCATCACTCAAGTGAATGCTTTGTATATTTGATGACTTTTCATTGGAATCTTTTATGTTGTTTTCAATGAAATTTAGACTCTTTTCTTCATAGCTTTTGCTAATAAGTTAACCATGTGTCGAATGGATTGTCACTCTTTTATTTGCTAAGACAGTGTACGAATGGACTTGTTGTGTGTGTTTCATACGTTAATAGCTTGTATGTTTGGTAAAATGTAATGCTCAGTATTAGGCACGGGAAGAAAGAGTACTGCGAGTCTGCTTCAGTTGGAGCTTGTAGGCCTGGCTGGTCTGAAAAATCTCTAATCAAAGATGTAACAAAATCCGTTTTGCATCATATCTAAGGGATTTCTCGGTTCGGGAACCCCCGCAAGTACGGCTGGCCTATATTTGAATGAAAATGCCGTGTCGTCCACCAGGAATTGGACATGAGAGAGTAACTTTTGAAAGAGCCCATCCGGAAGTCTAAAAACAGTTTCGAGATGAAGCTAGACTATAGAGGTGTATGGACATGATGATTGGTTGTCCTTGTATTGTAAATGAGAAGAAAGAGAAGGAACGTACTTGAGAAGGCAGTGATGAAAGATTAGAGGCTAAGGCCAGGCTACCAGGCACTGCACTAGGTAGGGTTGCATTGAACATGTTGAAGTCAAATTTTGTTTGAAACTCAGGATCCAATTGATTCTCATCGTACTAACGCAATTATTTGAAGTAACATTTAGGTGACGATTAAGTCAACACTTACATAACGAGTTGGATTAAAAAATCAACTTTAGACTATCGCTTTTATCAATGGGTTAAAATTTCAAATATGTTAAAACAACACAAAAATATATTAGGTGCATAACCTAGCACAATTAATTTATTTTTGTATACTTAAAACAAATAGTAAATTCAAAATGAATAACATAAAATAAGTAGGTAACATACTTGTCAAATTAAAATTATCTATTAAAAAGGCTTTTTAATCAGTAAATTTTTAATTTCGTCATAATTAAAAAGACGAATTGATGTCACTTTCTTCTTTTACCATGTTATTCTCTTTACCCCTTCATCTCCTCTCGTCTCCATTCTATGGGTGTGTTTACTATTTTGTCGTAAGACAAGCTCAAAAGTCTCTCAAGCAACAGAAGGATGTAGCAGGAGATGACAGATTAGCATGGACGATGGGGATACAATAAAGAAAAGAGAGAGAGAAGAAGAACGAAAGTTGGGCACAATAGTACGAGAAAAAAGATTAGAATGAGAAAGATTAAAGAAGATGATAACAAGTAAATGATGTTGGAATGATATTTCTGACAAAATTCTTAGGTGATTTTATTAATTTTTTTTTAATCGTTTGAATTTTAGTTTTAATAATATATTTCACGGAATTCACAATTTTACGAGGGAAAATTTTATTTCTAAGATTTTCACTATTCAAAAATAAGAAAACAATTTTCAAATTTCTAAAATCAGATATTTGATATATATATATAATTAACCCACCCCACCCCACCGCTCCAGCGACCACTCGATTCAGACGACTGTTTCGGTGATCGTTCCGCCGCCGATTTATTCCGGCGTATGCTCATATTCCAGCAATTGTTCCAACTTCGGCGAATATTCAGGCGACAACTCCACCACATTTTTTTGTACAGTTGACATGATTTTT